CCTGAACGACAACAAAAGGCAAAAATCGCTTGGCACGGAACGTGTTAAACATTGCATTTGCCTTTCTTTCCATCTTCCATTTCACCCCAAATCGCTCCAAGCATCTGACAATTGGCAATTCACCGGAAGAGAATGCTGAAAACCATTTAACGATATATTTTTTAATTAAACAAATCTTCGAACGGAACGTTTGAAAATCGGTATATTGGTGTATAAACTGCATCTGTGATCAGTTTTGTGTGAGATGAATATATTGCTCATTTGTGAAATGAGAGCCGCAGCCAGGTCAGTTACTTTGATACTATCTGCTTAAAAGATAGTCCGCTTAAAGGGAATTAGCTCGCATTCCTTCGCATTCCTTTGCTCAGGATAATCTGGAAACGTTTGAAACGCGCATGCAGGTTGTTGTGCTTGTTGGAGGAACTTATACGTTGTTCTTAACGGCTGCAGGCTCGTTAAGAATTTATGGCGTTAATCGCCGACTTTTTAGAACCACTGTATCATACTCGATTTGTTTTCATCTCGTGCTGATTATCGCGTTTCAAAAGGGATTTTTAGGATTTCGGTTTTCGGATTTTAGTGTCCGAACACGAAGGAATACGATACTCTATAAGTATCTGGACATTTAGCGTGATTTTCGAAAGATATATTTGAAGTTGTAATAGAAGAACATCCTTCTATTGTTAATTCTTTAGTTAATTTTTGTTAATTGGGAGTTATTGTCGTTGGTGAAAATTTCCATCCAAATACGTATTTTTCTCCTTCTCTTTTCTTTTTTTTTTTTAATTTTGACAGTCAACAAACGCGATTAAACGATTTTCATAAAATTATCGTTTGCAATGGTTACAAACAACATCGCATCATCGTAGAACGGTAACATTACAAACAAAATTCGCGTGACATGAAATTTCATTCACGAGAGACTGAAGCTTGAGCTAAAGCAAATAATTGCGTGACTGTATATTTACTCATAATGTAATGGTTGACACTTGGCGAGATTTGCATAAAAGCTCGAGGATATAATAACATTCAGCAGGCACGATTTCACTTGAAGTTATTTTATTAAAGTTACGAAATTATTTCTCCTGAAACTTAATTTGAAAATAATTTCAATTAACTATTGCACCGATCTTGGTAGAGATCAGATTAATTTTATTTGAAATATAATTCGTATGATACGTATTTGCTAGTAAAATTTTTATTCCTCCAACATTCCGTACATTCGATAAATTTCACACGATGCCTCGCTGTTTGCTACTCGATCGGTTAAGTATACACGCAGAGTCATTGTGCCCGAGGCAAAGCCGCTCGAGGAATGATTGACCGTGGAATTCAAAGTGCTCGCATGATCCGATTCACTCTGGCGGAGAAGAGTGGATCTCCATCTCTACGAGGAGGGGAGAGACAATTTTTCTCGAGTTTCCTCACCGTATTAGTATCAACAAGATACTGCTCGCGTAGAAGAATTCGAAACTCCACGAATCGACAAGTTTCGCCATCTGCCTGCTACACGGTTTGCCGCTATCGATATTTCCAAGCATCTGCGGCTACTATTTGCCGTGCAATACAAACTCTCAGCCGAGGGCAGTTGCGACTTCTTTCAATGGAGGAACATCTGTCGGCGAGAGAAGTTCCCGCGGACAGAGACTCGCGGGAACTTCTCATCCTCAAGTGAAAGCAACCATCCGGCACAACTTACCGGCGATATTGCAATGCAATATGGATGAAAATTTGATAAATGCGCATTACACATTTTCACGCGAACGGCCGTTGGAAAAACGCGCAATAAAATGCTAATTGAAAATGTATGTGTGTGTGTATAAAAAGCAATTTTATAGTTTCGATTTAAAAATTTCTTTTTTTTTTTTAATTTCGTTCGATCTGTTGTTAAAACAAAAAAAAGAACATTCTTCGTGATTTTAACACACATTAGAACACTCTAGGATCAAAAGAAAAGAAAAATTGTTATCAGTTGTATACATAATTTCTTATGATATACTTAATATTATAATAAATGTTCATAACAGAATGTTTGTAATAAAATACGATTTAAAAAAGAAAACATTCTCCAAATGAAATGAAACACTTGAACGGTTAATAGTGTCCTGCAACACGAATCGACTAAACCGAAATTGTGAATTACCATTCACCTTGAACAAGCT